AATAATCTTCAAGAAGATTTACTTTTATTGAATTAATAACTTGTTAGTAACACATCTGCTGCACAGTGTAAAAACAATGTGTACAAGTCTACTCTTATTAACTTTCTGAAAACTACAATGAACACTGATTTCTTTAGTGTGATACCTGGCATTGTTTTTGCTTGTACAAGTTATCAATTTCTGCTGGCACACTTGATGTGGCGATGCGGAGTATTCCAGATAAATGTCCATCTGTCAAAAGTGATCTTGATTTTGTTTTTATGTTCTTCATTCTTGAGAAAAACTGTTCACAGCAATACATGCTACCAAATAGTGCAATGAACCGAAGTGCATGATTCAATAGATTTGGGAAAGAGCGCCATGTAACATGTTGAGTATAAAATGTCAGTAGGTCATGTTCTGCAAAAGCTCTCTTCACGGCACCGTTATTTGGGATGTCAATTAGTGCCATTTGGAACGTGTCAGGAGCATCGGTGGCATCCGCTCCAAATGGATCTGCAAACAGCTTCAACTCATCGCTGTGTTCCCTGAAATCCGCAAATCTTTGTTTGAACTCATCCAGCAGATGGCCGATCAGTGCAGAATACTTGTCATGGTTCACAGTCTCAGCACATCTTGTTAACAGTATTGTGAAATGGGTGACATTCTTTTTATTCAACTGTATCTGTAACAATTCCAGCTTATGAATGAAGGATTGGATGTGTTCATACAGTCTGTTGACAAATTGATCCTTCCCTTGTAGTTTTAGATTCAAATCTCCAAGATACTTGGTGATGTCAACTAGGAATGCCAAGTCATTCAGCCATGCATCATTGTCCATGAAGCTGACATCTTTTCCTTTGTTCGTCATGAAAGTTTTAATTTTGTCAAGCAGTGACCAGAATCTGGCAAGTGTGGCTGCCCTGCTGAGCCAACGAACTTGGCAGAAGTATATAACATCATCATGGTCTGATCCTATCTCAGCACAAAATGCTCGGAACTGTCTATGATTAAGCCCCTTTGACATTACGAAACTGACTATAGAAACAACCTTTTCCATCACATGTTTCATCTCCAGGGCCTTTGCACACAGTTGTTCCTGGTGAATGATGCAGTGATGTGTGATGACATCCTGAGGCACCGACTTGACCAGTAAACTGACAAATCCATTGTGCTTGCCTATCATCAGTTGTTAGACCACAGAGTTTGTCCTCTGGAAGGTTGAATTTCAACAAGACACGTTTCACTTCATTGAAAATGCCCTGTCCTGTCATTTTGCTTTTCATTGGACATAAGTCGAGCAGTTCCTCAACAACGTGGAATTGTTTGGTTACTCCTCATACAAAGAGTGCCAGTTGAGCTGTATCACTCACACCTGTGCTTTCGTCAGCCCCCAAGCTGTAAAACTGACAGGCACCAGGTCTTTTCATCAGTGAATCTTCAATGTTTGATGCCATGTCATCTACTCTTCTAGCAACTGTCTGATGTGAAAGGCTGATATTCTCCACCATTGACTGTTTATCAGGGAATACCTCAGATGTAAATATGCCCAAGCAATCTTTCACAAATTCTCCATCAGACAATGGTTTTCCTCTCTTAGCTATTGCCTTGGATATCAAGAAACTTATCTTGGTTGCTGTCTCAGAATTCTGCCTCACAGCTTTGAAAAAAGACTGTTGCCCGGTCATGCTCTGTTTTAGAGAGTTCACCTGATCATTTCTAATCTGACCCACCAGGCTGTCAAATTTCTTTGCATGTTTTGCACAATAATGTCGCTTCAAATTGTACTCCTTGCAGACAGCTACTTTCTCTTGGCAACTCAGACACAGGATGTTCCCGTTTTGTTCAATAACAAAAAAAAAATCAGTGGTCCAACTATCTTTGAAAACTCGACATTCAGCATCAATTTTTCGTTTCCTCTGATTCGCCATTTTTTGAGCGTAGCGTAGGCCCTGTAGCTAGTAGAGCCAAAATTAATTTTAGTCATAGAAAAATTAGTTTGGCAGAGACAGGTGAAGTTAAAAACAACTCACCAGTTCAAAATCACCATTTTATTACTATGTAATGATACTGTGGTATCAATATGGACCCCCACCCATCAGGTATAGTCATAATATGTAAGGTACAGCCTGACATGTGCAGGTGCTGCCATCATATGCCAAGTGCAACCTCAAATGCCAATGGGGAGTCAGGGCAGGACTTAACCCACTCAACCTACATCCTGAATTTTGATTTCATCCAAGCTAGAACTCTGCCAGCCTGGAGAGAGCTCTTTGCAAAACAGCAAAATCCATGGGTTTCTCCAGGAAAATGAGAAATCCATGGTTTCTTCTGGGAAAAAGAAATGTCCATGATTTTCTCCATTTTTCCTTGGGAAACGGAAAACCCAGATCCCTGCTGATCAGTCAATGTTTCAACAGGACAACCAGTTTCAATCTATCAGACCCTGTTCCTGTTCAGAGAGAGAGTTCGCTCCAAACACTCTCCGCAGGGCCCTTAGGCTGCCAGCCTCCAACATTTTCCTCTCCCTCCCAGCATGCTCACGGTCTCACTGACTTTCCTAACCAAGGTGAACGTATTTTGAAAAGCTCTCTTCTCAGTACAAAGGGGCTACACGCAAAACAGGGAAGGAGAGTGAACACCTTGGCTAGGTACAGATATTAAAAAAGCCCAAGGCAGAATTAATTTAAGTTATGTGGTTTTCTGTAAGTAGCAAAATTAACATTGGTAGCCCAAAGAACACACATCTGCCCCTTGGTTGGGGGGCAAATCTTAGACCTGGTTCTGCCATTTTTACCTCAGCCAGACTTCTGTTCTGTTATGAGTATAAACAGTTTTATTATGCTGAACTTCTGTTCTGTTATGGGCATACACTGGTTTCCAATCACTTACACTGTTAAGAGTGTAATGTCTGTACCTGGCTCTTGTGTTGCTGGCCTTTTTCTGCTCTATATCCTTGCTGTTCTCTTTTGAGAGTAGATTGCACAGTTGAGTAGATGCGAAAGAGCTCTGCCTCCTTCTTGAACAGTCCCAATCAGCTCCTCTGTGCAGGAGCTGGAGAAATGGGCAAGCAACCAACAAAAGTGATTTCCCTTGCTAAAATCTGTTAGAGGGCTGTAGCTTCTCACTGGTTTTAGCTCCAGCCAAAATTTTTCCACCACTATCATGAGAATTGGCAACTCTGAGTATCTGAACCAAAAGAGATGGTGGCATTAAAAGGTAGGAATGTACCTAATGAAAAAGACAGGAGAAAATGAAAAAGAAAGAAGAAAGAACTGAAAATGCCTGAGTATGTTGTCCCTGGGCCCACCCAAGGTACTTTTCTGAAATTCAATAGGAATTAGTGTATCATTAAAAAAAAATATATCAACAAAAATAATCTAGACTATTTATACGTTGGGTGACCATATATCCTGGATTGGCTGAGAGAGTCCCAGATTTTATAGGCTGTCTCAGTGTCCCAGCCACTGGAGAAAATTTAAGCAAAAGTACCAGACTGGTGGGAATCTGGGGGATTGGGACTGTGTGTGTGTGCATGCATGTGTGTGCGCTTCCCAGCACACGTGTGTTGCAGTAGACAGAGCCAAAGCAGCTATTGGGATGTGCTGGG